GATGGAATCGGCGCACTCCTTCTGGTACCTCCCCCACAAAGGGTCAAATTTTTGAAAATCCATGAAGCTCATAGAACGCGAAATTAACATCAGATTCCATTGAGACTTTCAATATTTCCACCAACACATGATCTGTTATAAAGATGGCAGAGCTCGGACCAATTTTTCTCTTACCTCCCCCACATAGGGTTCAAGATTTTGAAAAACAAAACGCTCATAGAAAGCGAAATAAGCATCTTCAGATTTGACACACAAACTTTTTTGCTAACACAAGATCTGTTGTGAAGATGATATATAACGGCAAACCCCTTCTGGTACCTCACCCACAAAGGGTCACAATTTTCATTAATTTTATCTGTCATAACTTGCGAAAAAAGTCAGCGATTTTTTACAACTTGATATTATTAAAACGAATCCATATTGCCATCGAAGTATACATTTTTATAAATTCATCATTCGTCTCTCAAAATATACCAATAAATTCCAATTTTTTTAAATGATGCCATAAACCTCACACTTCTCAAACCACCCTCGTTCAAAATCGTAAAACAAATTCCATTATTGTGTATTCGTTGAAATTGCGTATATGAATAGATGGATGGATGAATGGCTTCGTAATAAACTAGTTTTCAACTTTTATTTCTCACTTTTTTTTTTTCGTATTTTTATATAATCTTTGTATTTGGCTACAGCAGACAAGTTTCAATTTCATTATTTTACCTTCTTAAATGTGGGTTTAGTGGTTTTGGCAAAATAATAGTCAGCTCTTCTCACTTTGCTACCGCTGGTGTTTTGTAAATTGTGCATCTGTTAACCGGATTTTTTTGCTTTTGTTTGTATTTACTTTTTTAAGTTGCAACACGTATCTTTTTAATTTTTCAATAATTTCAACAATAAACCTTTGTATTAGAAATACTCGGTATTCAAACTTAATTTTAAACGGGTTATGCTAATTTCCCATTGAAAAAAGAAAGCAACGTGATAATAAATATCAAAAGTCAATTTCGTAAGCATTGCTTTTGGAGTATTTTTTTATACAAATATTTGAGAAATATATTTGGAATATTTAATTGTGGTCTACATAAAAATGATTTTTTATGTCGCTGTTAAAACTCGAAAATAATTTTGGGGTATATATAAATTTTGGCCATTTTTTACAAATTTTTAAATCGTTTATTTTGAAACTTAATCCGTGGCGTTAGGTTTGAACTATATTCTACATATACGTTTAATTTTTTGGACAGTGTTAAGCCTTTGTATGGGAGGTGTCAGATGATTTGGACAGGCATATCCCATATTCTGATTAGATTTAATGTAAAAGGAAGTATATGGCGAAGTTGTTTTTATATCCTACACCACATAGTGGTGAGGGTATTACGTCTTTGTGCCTTTGTTTGTAACATGGAGAAGGAAGCGAGATAGGCCCATAGTTTCTTTTGAGGATCTTCATAGAATCACTTTCTGAGTCGATTTATACATGTCCGTGCATCCGCCAGTCCATGTATTTTTGTGAGCAAAATGCAGGTCGCATTTATTATCCGATTGAGATGAAATTTTCCAAACAATAACGAACCCAGGAACGAACCCTATTAAAATTGTTTCAAATTTAGATATAGCTCCCATATATATTTCATCCAATTTGGTCTTTTAGTCCCCCACATGCGTAATACGCACTCCACAAGAATGATAAAGATATCAGATACAGGCCAGAAATACCTCTGACAAATTTAATCGAGAACGGTTCATCATTGTTCATTAATGACTAATATACGTCCAAATTATCTGAATTTTGGCATATCCAACCGAATTTAGTCCAGAAGCAAGTTCATTAAATTTAGTGAAAATCGATTTAGAATTGGATATGTCTCCCATATATTAGATCCCTCTGAAATCAAATTATAACTGTTCTAAAGCCACAGGTTGATAGGTGGTGTGGTCTACTTCAAATAAATTCGTTTGTTACGGGAGCTCAACTAAATATGCATAGTGGTGTAGAGTGTCATATAATCGGGCCCGCCTAACTTTTGACTTTTACATTATTTTTTGTGAGAGTTATAATTATTCGAAACTTTGTGCCCTTGTGGGGGAGTTCCCTGAAAAAGTTAACCGATTTTGAAATATATAGATGTGCAAAGTTTGAAAACGGTTTCACCCTTTGCTTTTTAAAAAATAAATTATTTTCTTCGAAATTTTTTACTTTTTGTGTGGGAGTCATCAGAAGGATTGTACCGTCTTTATCCATCTCCGATCTAGACCCAAGTTTGATGGAAATATTAGATATACCAGATTTTTACGAAATTGGATGCTCGCTTTGAGTACGACATTGCTAAATCGACTCAAAATGTCCTAAAAGGGATTTTGTCAAAAGACACCTAGGGTTTAAATCTGGGCTCAAATGATATACTCTGTAAGGCTAAGGTTATAAAAATACCTTCAGTTACCAAAGATTTGGATGGTCTTCCTTAATGAAGATCTGTACGATGATTTTTCTGTGATCTAAAAAAAAGGTATCCTTTGATACTCCCTCGTTTAGAAACTGCTAATTATCCCTATTGGGAAGACTTAACCTTACACTTCTTATGATTTTTTGCGATTCCACCACTTGCCTTAAATTTTTTCAGAATAATATGTCATCGATGAATTCGGCTTCACACGGACTCTATTGCTAGATCGATGAGAAATTGAACGTAACCGAAAAAATATAGTTTTTGCTTCCTACCTATGTGGTTCTGTCTTCGGACCAGATGGTCTTCTTTGGAAAAACTTCACGTACATTAGCTTCAACCTAATATCTCTAAAATTCAACACTCGTTACCGGCAGCAAATCTGTTGCAGTTATTTTCGACATTCCTTTTCTTCTTCTTATCCTTTCCCCATATAGAGCATTATGACTTCAAGGAAGGAATCAACATCTGTCGGGTTTTTTATACAATCTGGTTCGAGTGTAATTCTGTCATTTTTGCACTCTATGAATCCATCAAGAACACTCCCCTGTCGTAGACGCAGGTCCTCACTCTTTTGTAGGTGTTCGAACAGACACTTCCTCTGCCGTTGAATGGACCTGTCCCCCATCTCGACATTCAACGTAGAGACGTTGTCCCTACCCAGAGCTTCAGTCCAATCAACGCGCTTTGCCATTCAATCATGATGCTTGTCCGTAGCCAGGTCTCAGAATATTGCTTTGTTGTAGGGTAATTCTGAACTGGATTTTCAACCCTGTATAGGATGTCCTTTAGTGACACAGCCTCCATGACACTACCTTCCCAGAGCCCGCCTTGTCGTTGATTGGGTGTTACAATAAATAACCTTGGTATCCTTGGAAATACTTATTGTCAACTATCACCAACGGAAGTGGTTTATTTTTTTTAAATATTTAAAATACACAAACTTATGGTCGCAATCAACACGGCAACATTTGTCCTCACCTTCCACCTCTCAGATTTTTTATTTGAAGGGGGTGCGATCTTATCTTCTGCCACTGGACACTGAACTTCGTATATTGGTATTGAATCACATGACGGAGCTTTCTTCAGAGAAGCGACTCTCGGTCTGTATGGCTCAGCGAATGTAGCTTCATTTCTTGAAGAGAGAGAGCGGATAAATCTTTTCAAATATAGACCACCTCCCGGGAGACAATCATGTGTAGATGAGTACTTTATATTTCACAAAAAAACTTCTGGACAGTAAAGTAGACAAGTGTTTCAATTACATCTCCTCCATAGCCTGGAAAGGACTTGTATTAGCGTGCTCGACTTGTTCGAGACTCAAATATTTTCGCTGAAACACGACAACATAACTTTGAATCTATAGATTACTTAGCATCTATATCATTGGTTGATATAAAATCTTCATTAATGGTATTTTCCCTCTGAAGTGGTTTACTATTGAATATTTCCAATAAAGGACCCTTTGGAGAAGAAATCTTATAAAATTCAACTCTTTCCTACTCTCTCGATCAAGCAGACTGCATTACCTCTTTTTCGATTTCATTCAGTATAGATTGGCTTTTTGTGAAATAAGTGAATTATTGTCCATTATATTCTAGGAATAATAGATTAGTGTGGCGATTTGTATGGCATGTTGTCGACCCGAAATTGTATCGTCAACTCTTTTCCCCTTAGTCGATAAAGTTGAACCCATTTTCTCTTCCTTGATTTTATGCTGTTCAATCCAGGTCATAGTTTGTTATTGACGTCCTCTTGGGTTTATTTTTTATTACGTCCTCTTGGGGGATTCGAATTTGTTCGGCACAGGTCCTCTGCAGTGGAAATTGTGTCGAGTTAACCTCCCTTCCTATTCCCCGATTTCAATACTATCCAAATTGCTTTCCAGGTCATAGTCAGGGTACTTGGAGGGGTTAGCCTCCTGCAAAAAAGTACACAACTAGCTCGCTTTTCATACCACCCACGTTTAACTCCAACACCCTCCAATGAATTCCAATAAGAGCATACCGGCATGTTATAATACATTCAGCGAGATATTAAATTCATTTACCTGTTGTTAACCTGTAGCGATTTTCAAATTTACTTATATTTCCAGTTTATTTTGTAACTCTCCACACACACTTACTCACTCAATAATGATAGAGATAAAAACCCATTTTACTGATAAGACATAAAGTTGGTGGCGGGCGTTATCATCATTTTTGTTAATATTTGGAAACCACTTTTTTGTCGGGAAGAATTTTAAAGGTACATTTATACCGCTTTTTAAGCATTTCGATATATGGTGTTCTCCCTACCAGAAACACATATGTACGTACATAATTTCATACTTTTATTGTCTCCATTTTTTTTTTTTTTGTATTTACCTGTACTTGTTAAAGACCCATTTACTTGGTGTTTATTTAAAATGTTAATAACTTAACTTTTTCGTTGTTAAACCGTACTCATTTATTGGAGTGAGAGAGCGAACGACTTTTGTATATTTACCAACCCAACATCGCCGCCGCCACCGCCGATGCCTGCCTATCTACCTACTCTGTGAGTTCTGTCGATAATTTCGTTTATCATGTTTTTTTTTTCATTCAGTTTTGTGGTGCGGAGTATTAAGAGCGGTTGATCGGCGGTTCGTTAAAGAAATAGAGTTTGTCCATGAAAAACAGTTGTTAAATTCCAATTTTTTTTTAATTCTTTCTTTTTAATTATAACGGTACGCTTAAAAATATTTTAATATTTATTTTGTTTTTTTTTTTTCGATGGGAAAATCCTAAAATTTGAATTCATATATGTTTGTTGAACTTTGAGCGGGTGTGTGTGTGTTTGTGTTTTAATTGTGGCAATTTAAAATAAATACTTGAATCGAGACAACACTTTGGATTATTAAAAATTCAAAACAAATGACATATCGCCTATAAACAATAGCGACTTTTGAACTCTAAAACTGCTGGTTTAACTGCTTTAAAGTTTAAGATGAATTGAATATTAATAGAACTAAAAATAGAATATATAGTATGGAAAATATATGTGACAAAGAAAGTATTTTTTTTTTAATTGGGGTACGATTTTTTTTGGACTTGGCGATTTGCCGGAATTTTTAACACAGTACACGGGCTCAATTCTCGTTCTATGAAAATGTGGAATGAAAATCTATCGTAAATGAAATAAACTTCAAACGAAAAAAAAACAGGAAAGGGAAACTTTTCGTAGAGCAAGAATCAAAGCTCAGGATATTATATTACCCTCAGCTATATGGCCACAGAGGGTATATATCATTTGATACGGCCAAAACATGCCTCATCGAATTAACGTTTTTAGACCCTAGTTCTATTTGGACCAAATCAGTTTCAGGACATTTGGAGTCGTTCTAGCGATGTCCGTCCGCCTGTTTGGCTGGTGCGCGAAGGGAGTATCCGATTTGATCCAAACTTGGTCTCATAATATTATTGTCAAACTTATGTCGAGTTCGGAGATGAGCAATATCGGTCCACTCCTTCTGGTACATTTTCAAAGAAAATAATTTACTGCACAGAAAGAGAAAGGATAATCCGATTTTCCTCGAAGTTTGCATATCCTAACATTTGCATCAGTGCTAGGTCAGGTTCGAGAATTGACAAAATCGGTCCACTCCATCAAGTACCTCCAACACAGAAGGTCAAAATTTGAAATAATTATAATTCTTATAAAATGGAATGCAAGAGTCCGGTTGTCTTCAAATTACACAAATCACAACATTTTTAGTAACCCAAGGTCTGGTGTGAACAATATAACATATCGGTCCACTCCTTCTGGTACCTTCTCCACAATGAGTCAAATTTTTGAATATTCACGAAGCTAATAAAATGCGAAATTAAAATCCGTTTCCATTTAGACTTAGCATATCTCAATATTTCCATCAAAACGAGATCTGTTATAAAGATGGTAGAGATCGAACCATTCCTTCTGGTACCACCCCCACAAGGGTCAATGTTTTGAATAACAAAAACGATTATAAAATCCGAAATAAGCATCCGTTTCTCTTCGTATTTCACACATCCCATTATTTCTACTAACACAATATCTGCTGTGCAGATGGGACATATCGGCGCACTACTTCTGGTACCTCCCCCACAAAATTTTTGAACGTCCATGAAGCTCATAAAACCCGAAATTAACATCGTATTCCATTCAGACTTGGTACATCTCAATATATCCATCAACACAAGATCCATTCCTTCTGGTATCTCCCCCACATAGGGTTCAAATTGCCCATATACAAACATTTTTGCTAACATATGATCTGTTGTGAAGATGATATATATCTGCCAACCCTTCTATAACTTGCGAAACAATTGGGCGATTCTTTACAAGTTGCTATATCTAAATATTTCTCTTAACCAGAAACCTGATATGAATATGGAATTTGTCGGTATTTATGATTTCGAATAAAATTGGGTATAAATATTCGATTTTCTTGTAAATTTGCCTATACCAATATTTTTATCTGTATTGGATGAAGTGTGAAAACTAAATAGTAGACTCATATACATTTTAACATTTTCAAAATTATCACATATCTTACACAAAATGAAGGAAGTAGTCGATAATAGTCCAAAACTCTCACGTCGCGATATTTATATCATATTTTTTTTAGATCCGATACGAAATATATTTGAATAATCATACATTGGCTAAGGATACGCATCTGTTGGAAAAAACCGACTGATACTTCTTAACTTGTTATACCCTTCAACTTGAAAAGTAGGGTGTATTAACTTTGTCATTCCGTTTGTAACAACCTTAAATATTCGTCATAGACCCCATAAAGTATACATATATCTTCATAATCAGCATAAACTTCTAAGTCGATTTTACGATGCCCGTATGTCTGTCTGTCTGTCTGTCTGTTGATATCATGATACAGCCCTCATTATTTGACGTAGAGCTTAAACATTTGTCTGAACAATTTGCATTATTTCTATAATGGTTGATATTGAAAATGAGGTATGTCGGTCTACGTTTTGGTATAGTCGCCATATTTTTTCACGGTATTTGTAGATCATAATGAGTTCTAGCTCCAGTGGCTACATATTGTATATATATATAACGGTACCTCCCAATATTCGGTATTTTGATGATTTTTTTGCCACATTTTTTTACGGACTGGTCCAAAAATTGGTATTTGTAGTTCGTAATGGGTTCTAGCTCCTGTGGCGGAACATAGTATGTATAGGTCAACGTTTTCGTAGAGCTCCCACATAATGGTACCTCTCGATATTCAGTATTTTCATTATTTTTGCCACATTTTCCACGAAATTGTCGTAAAGGTTGGTATTTGTAGGTCATAATGGGTTCTAGCTCCGGTGGCAGAACATTGAATATTTAGATTTTTCTATAGGGCACATATAACAATACCCACCGATATTCAGTATTTTCATTATTTTTGCCACATTTTCCACGAAATTGTCGTAAAGGTTGGTATTTGTAGGTCATAATGGGTTCTAGCTCCGGCGGCAGAACATTGAATATTTAGATTTTTCTATAGGGCACATATAACAATACCCACCGATATTCAGTATTTTCATTATTTTTGCCACATTTTCCACGAAATTGTCGTAAAGGTTGGTATTTGTAGGTCATAATGGGTTCTAGCTCCGGCGGCAGAACATTGAATATTTAGATTTTTCTATAGGGCACATATAACAATACCCACCGATATTCGGTATTTTGATAATATTAGTAACATTTATCAACGAAATTGTTTCAAATTTGGTATTTAAAAATATTTAGAAGATGACAATTCTCGATGCATAACAACGGACTCTCCCACATTATGGTTTTTTTTCAAAAGCATAGTCCAAACGGTCTTGCTGGTATTTGTAGTTTATAATAAAAAACACTTTTGAATTCAGATACTTTTATATAAAAATGTTTTCTTTACCCAATGGTGAAAGGTATAAAAGTTCGGCCCGGACTTAATGTTTTTTTTTTTTTTTTTTACTTGCTTTACCTACATTAGATCTATTGTGAATATAGAACGTATCGGCTCACTCCTGGTATCACCCTCGTAAAAGGTCAACATTTTGTATAATTATAACCCTTTGAAGATGCGAAAAAATCTGCGTTTTTTCAAACATAAGGCATTTCAATATTTCTATCAACCATAAACTTAATATAAATATGGGGTACCGATCCAGAAGCCTCCTCCACAAATGTTCAAAAGTGGAGGAAGTAGTAGGAATAGTATAGTCATATCAGATTTCTTTTAGGTGCGAAATGAAAAATATTGGTCCACTCCATTTGTACATCCCTCATAAAGGGTCAACATTTTGAATAATCGTAACGCATGCCAATCCAATAAAAAAATCAATATTCAACCGAGCCGGTGTTTATCTGTCGGCAATCCGACTGATACTTTTTAACTTTTGTATCCTCTCAAAAATAATGAGTACTTTTAAAATCTTAAAAGAGGAAGATGTTCTCCTTGGATCCTCTTAAACTTAGTATAGAAGTCCATCGATTAATTTCCTTTGGTCCCCTAACATTCCTTCCAAAAAATCATGTTTTGGTCTTTTTGACTTCTCATGAAAATCCTTTAAATATAACAGGTTTATTGTTTATTTCTTTATAATGTAAAATGTTTTATTTAAAATAAAGTACTAACGTATATTTTGATGCGTGATGTTGAGGATTATATAGTCGACCTCATCAACAATTACTTTTTGTTTTTGCTTTTTTGTGAAATGTGGCCCTCAGCAAGGCCATTTAGTGCATAAATGCTAGAATTCTTTCCACATTTTTTGACTTATCAGCGATAAGTTTATGGGATTTTAAACAACTAAAAGACTGATAACAAGAAAACCATTTGATAAATATAAATTGAATCAATTAATTGTTTTGCAAAAACAAAGCCAAGGGAATAAAAACCACATAATTTCACAATGTACCCAAATTTGTTTAACAATACCATAAGGGATTTTCATCATCATTTTTGTTTTCTTTTTTTTCAAAATTTCTAAAAAACAAGCCCTTTTCTAATCAATTTTTTCCTATTTTCTCTTTTCTTTCCAGACACAAAACCTAAACAAACAGCAACAAAATGAGTGACGATAATAACGATAACAATCAACAGAATGGCACATCATCAAATTCAAATACACCGCCACCAACAGCCAACAATGTACCCGCCAAAATGATCGAACACTTTAAGGGCCACAAAGTTGACGTGTCCATGTGGCTGATACGTATTTTGGCCATCATCTTTGCGGTCTTCTATGTCCTGCCCATCTTTGGCACCAAACAGAGTGCCTTCAATAAAGTTCTACTCTCAAATGCAGCTATCTCAGCGTTACGTTTGCATCAACGTCTGCCCTCCTTTACGTTTTCACGTGAATTCTTGGCTCGATTATTTGTCGAAGATTCCTGTCATTATTTCATGTATTCGCTGATATTCTTGAATGTGCAGCCAACATTGTTGATCCTGGCGCCAATTGTATTGTTTGCCATTCTGCATGCTTCGAGTTATTCACTGAAATTGTTGGATGTAAGTATACGATGAAGATGAGAGAGACAATTGACCTTTTATGATAAGGCCAACAGGTCTTCTATGGGAAGACCAATTGGCCTTCAATGGGAAGATCAACTGGAAGACCAACTGGCCTTTCAACTGGTCTCCTATAAGAAGACCAACTGGTCTCCTATAAGAAGACCAACTGGTCTCCTATAAGAAGACCAGCTGGTCTCCTATAAGAAGACCAACTGGCTTTCTATAAGATGACCAACTGGACTTCTATAAGAAGACCCATCGGTCTTCTATAAGAATACCCATCGGTCTTTTATGAAAAGACCAATTGCTCTTCTATGAGAAGACCAATTGCTCTTCTATGAGAAGACCAATTGCTCTTCTATGAGAAGACCAATTGCTCTTCTATGAGAAGACCAATTGCTCTTCTATGAGAAGACCAATTGCTCTTCTATGAGAAGACCAATTGCTCTTCTATGAGAAGACCAATTGCTCTTCTATGAGAAGACCAATTGCTCTTCTATGAGAAGACCAATTGCTCTTCTATGAGAAGACCAATTGCTCTTCTATGAGAAAACCAATTGCTCTTCTATGAGAAGACCCATCGGTCTTCTATGAGAAGACCAATTGCTCTTCAATGAGAAGTCAAATTGCTCTTCTATGAGAAGACCAATTGCTCTTCAATGAGAAGTCCAATTGCTCTTCTATGAGAAGACCAATTGCTCTTCTATGAGATGACCAACTGCTCTTCTATGAGAAAACCAACTGTTCTTCTATGAGAAGACCAACTGGTCTTCTGTGAGAAGGGCTGTCGGTCTTCTATGAGAAGACCAACTGGTCTATGAGAAGGGCTGTCGGTCTTCTATGAGAAGACCCATCGGTCTTCTTTGAAAGGACCCATCGGTCCTCTATGAGAAGACTCATCTGTCCTCTATGAGAAGACTCATCGACCCATCGGTCTTCTATGAGAAGCCCCATCGGTCTTCTATGAGAAGACCCATCGGTCTTCTATGAGCAGACCCATCGGTCTTTTATGAGAAGACCCATCAGTCTTCCATGAGAAGACCCGTCTGTCTTCTATGAAAAGACCCGTCAGCCATTTATGGGAAGACCCATCGGAGTTCTATAAGAAGACTCATTGGTCTTCTGTGAGAAGATCCATTGGTCTTCCATGAGAAGACCAATTGTTTTTCCGTGAGAAGAAGACCAATTGCCCTTCTATGGGAAGAGGACCAATTGTCCTCCACTATGAGAAGAAAACCTCAAAATACTAATCTTTTCCCCTTTTTGTTTACAGATTATTGGACAAAACTCCTGGTGGGGTGCCCGTTTCCTTATTTCCTTGGTTGAATTCCAAGCTGGCAATATCTTGAAGGCTGCTTCCTTCTCGGAAATCTTCATCATGCCTTTGGCTGTAGTCATGACATTCATGTAAGTTCCTATCGTCTCACTCAAAACCCTTTTTCTTTACTAATTCCTTTACTTCTCTTTGTTACAGGGGTAGAGCTGGTCTTATGACACCCATTATGTATTATCATTTCCTCGTTATGCGTTACAGTTCTCGTCGCAATCCCTATACCAGAAATGCATTCGCCGAATTGCGCATGACCGCCGAAGCTTTGGCAGCTCGCTCCCCAAGCATAGTGGGGAAAGTTGTGCACACGGCCATTGCATTTATTAGCCGTTTGGCACCAGCACCTCAAGCTGTTCCAACACAACAATAATACAAAGAACAACAGCAGTAGCAACAACAACAACAAAAGCAATTCAAGCGATGAAGAATTGTTTGAACACCAAAACAATAATAAAGAAACAAAAAATACCAGAGCCTTTCAAGGGTTTCTTTAGCTCTTTTTTGTACTACATACCTACATACGTTTGTCGGAATTTCTTAACAAAGAAATTGGAAACAAAAAAGAAGCAGTGAAAAGGACTTTATATTTAAATTTCTAATAATATTTCATGTTGTGGGGTCTATATACATTTTTTGTGTTATTTTATATTGTGTATGTGTATTGAAAATGTTTAGTCTAAGCTAAATTTATTTCAATATTTTCTCCCCACTCCCACTACCGCCACCTCACCACAGCCCTTTGACCTCAAAAGTCGAACAAGAAACACATACACTCCATACCCATATTTTTGTGGAGCAAAATGCTTCGATTATCACTTGAAATTATTTATTATTATTACTTTTTCATACAAAGTTTGGTTAATTTTAGTCTTTTGTTGTAATATTCTTACCCACCCTATTTTCCCCTATTAAGGCATTACTGCTATCGTTAAAGGTATTATTGACAATTTTTCTATCTATATTTCATAGCCTTATTCTTCTGTTGCTTAGTTTAATTTTAAATCACATTTTGTTTTCTTTTTCTATAGAAATCTTTCAATTCGAAACTTGAATTTCCATTATAATTTCAAACAAAATCTAAAGAGAGATGAATGTGAATATGAATAAATTATTGACTTTTATTATTAAAATAGAAAAACAAAAATAAAGGAGAAAAAATATGTCATGGGAACAGTAAAAAAATATGTTTAAAAACTAAAAACAATTGATTTTTTTTCTTTAAATTTTTATATTTTAAATATATTTTATTTTTTAGAATTATTGGGAATTTATTGATATACTTTGAAAAGGAAAACAACCTTAAGTTGGGACGGGACCAACTTTTTATGCCCTACCCATGGCTATCCTTGAAATCCCTGAAATTAGGACCGGATAAAGATGCTGAAATATAAAATTACAGTTGATTTAATCCTCCCGGAACTGTTATATATGGGACCAGAACCAAAAAGTTAGCCCAAATTGAGTATTTTTTTTCTGAGGAGTTAAACGATCCACTAATCGAAAGGAAACGTCAAATTGCAACTGATTTTTTTTGAAAATTGTAATAGATTTGTCCAAAAGACCAAAAAATCAAGGTTCTTCATTATATCGGTCCAATACCACAAAGTGGACCTACAATGAATATTTTTTTTTGTTTGTGAGGAGTATATCTACACACCGAGAAGCAGAAAACTCAAATTACAGCTAATTTGGATGGCAACTGATACCAAGAAATCTTTGCTATTAAAAAATCAATAAATCTAATGGCAACAGAATAGTCAAGTGACCCTGACAGCATTCCATCACGAATAACTTTTTTCTGGAAAATTCTCCAAAATGCTTTTGTACGCTTGTAAACAATATAATGAGCTTTCACTGGAATAATTTTAACAGCTGTCGGACGAGTGGCTTAGATATGACATCAGTCTGAAGTTAGTTGTAGTTTATTCATCTCACCCTGTACTCCGTCCGTTTTCAAAAAAACTGGCTGAGTGAAAGGGGATGTAATATTTTAAAGAAAATTTGACCGAAAAACCCTCTGCGAAGTGGCAAGGTCGCTCATCTCCATGGGCAAGTCAGACCTAAAATTTGGAGTTGAAATGATCTCAGGTCACCGTAGCATAGGGGTCTAGACTTCAAAGTAATGTGACGACGACACCGATGACTACAGGCTCTGAAGGTCGAGCACTTACTCTGGCACTGTTCAAATATCTTCGATGTGAGACATAGGCTTGTGGGGAAGCAAATTCTGTACGATCTGTTTTCATTCTCTGACAGTGAACCAGCAGTTATTCTTTAGTTAGCCAACAGACTAAAGTGGTTATAGTGTGGATCACAAATCATTTTTATTCCCTTTCAATCGGGTTCTGCTTTTAAGTTCAGCCACAAAAAGGAGGCAACCTGTACAGATAGGGTCCACAACGTTACTGGAGTTAGTTGAAAAGGTTTGGCGGGGCAGCGTAATAGGTGCAGCGTGTCATGTGGACCTGTGCCACAAGCTGGACAGATGTTCTGCACATCGCTTTCAATTTGGGGCCCAATACGAATTGAGGCGGCTGGATAATCCGGATCTTATCTGAGCAAATACTACACTCGCTCTTCAGCTGCGATGGGAGGGGGATGGTCTCCTAGTACAGAATTCACTCTATATCCTATCATGACTTCTGAGACCGCGTTACTATTCAGTCCCGCTTGACAGGCCTATTGATCTAGAGGATCGGTACCTCTCTCTCTAGATCATGAAGATGTTTCCTTATGTGCCTGGGCGGAGGTTGACTATGGTGATTCGGATGGCTCTGTCTGTAACACCCAAACAGGTATTGCATTGACAGCATTTTATTATGCTGTCGCACCAGTAAGACCTTCGCCTCCTCATGTATTGTATTATATATTGAAAATTGTGACCCTTTGTGGGCTAGGTACCAAAAGGGGTTCGCAGATATATATCATCTTCGAAACAGATCCTGCGTTAGCAAAAATATTTGGATGTGCGAAATTTGAAGAGAGTTGAATGTTTACTCCGCTTTGAGCCTTTTGTTTTTCAAAATCGTGAACCCTATGTGGAGGAGGCACCAGAAAGAATGGTCCGATCTCTACCATCTTTATAACGGATCTTGTGTTGATGGAAATATTCAGATGTACCAAGTCTGAATGGGATCGGTTGTTAATTTATCGTTTTATGAGCTTCATGGATATTCAAAATTTTGACTCTTTGTGGGGGAGATACCAGAGGGAGTGGACCGATAAGTCCCATCTTCAAATAAGGTCTTGTCTTAATAAAAAATATTGTGATGTGTGAGATATGAAGAGAACCGGATGTTCATTTCGGATTTTATAATCGTTTTTATTATTCAATACTTTGACCCTTTGTGGGGGGAGGTACCAGAAGGAAATATCCAATCTCTACCATCTTTATATCAGATCTTGCGTTGATGAAAATATTGAGATCTGCCAAGACTGAATTGAATCGGATATTAATTTCGTGTTTTATGAGTTTCATGAATATTCAAAACTTTGACCCTTTGTGGGGAAGATGCCTGAAGAAGTGGACCGACCATATTCACACCAGACCTTAGGTTAATAAAAATATTGTTATGTGTATAATTTAAAGACACTTGTATTCTTACATCCCATTTTATAAGTGTTATAATTATTCAAAATATTGACCCTTTGTGGGGGAGGTACTTAATGAAGTAGACCAATATTATCCATTTTCGCACCTGACCTAGCACTGATGCAAACGTTAGGGTTTGCAAAGTTAGATCAAATCGGATTATCCTTTCTCTTTCTGTGCAGTAAAATATTTTCTTTAAAATGTTCGATCTTTTTTGGGGGAGATACCAGAAGGAGTGGACCGATATTGCCCATTTCCGAACTTGATCTAAGTTTGATAATAATATTATGATGTACCAAGTTTGGACCAAATTGGATACTCCCTTTGAGAGCTATCGTGCGTGCCAGCCAGACAGGCGGACGGACGGACATCGCCAGATCGTCCCAAATGTCTTGAAACGTATTTGAAACCTAGAGTCTAAAACCGGTTTTGGCCGTATCAAATGATATATACCCTCTGTAGCCATTTGGCTGAGGGTATGAAAATACTCAGTCCAAAATTTGAATTTTTTCAATTTAATAATTGCTTTGGGGGAAAACAATCTATCTCCCGTGAAGATGTTAGGCCGTATTTCAGAAACACCGTCGGAACACAGAAAAAGTTCGATACCTTAGATAAACCTGATTATATATTTTTTCTGAATTTTAAAAAAAAAATTTTCCAATTTCAAAAAGGCGTCCCTTTCGCCATTTTGTATTTTTCTATAAGCGTGTTCCCGATTGTGACTCGGCGACCTTTCGATTAGGGATACGAATGCGTCCGCAAATTTTGCAATTTGAATGTGACCTCAAAGTTTCCCAAATTTAACAGACATTTCGCATCAACACTGTGGCAACTCCTTTCGTCGATTGTATCCTATATTCACAGCTGACATATCATATAAGTACGAATTAAACACTCTCAATTGTGAGCGCCAGTACAGTACAGAGTAGCAATGTCCCAAGACAGTTTCGAAAGTGTACCAGATGATTTCGGCGACTTCGATGCCACACTATCCCTAACGAATCCCGTGGAGTATTATGAACAGCTAATGCAAGAAAAGATGATGACCGATCTCTATGTACCGGATCAAATGAAAGAAGACATTTGGCTTAAAATTGATGCTGCCGCTCGTGATGCCGTCTGGAAGCTGTTGTTTAGCGAATATGCGAATGATGAGGAGGTAGGCGCCAAGGAAAAATTGGCGGCTACGTTGCTTGAAAAGCATAAAAGAAATGCTGCCTATTACTGTCCAAGTGATTACAACGAATGGGTGGTGAAATTGCGTGATGAATTATTGCGACGTGAACGGATGGAATTTTGGCGAACGGTTGTGGTGGCAAAGGAATTGGGACCGGCATGGGCTAGAGATTCTGATATGTATGATGATCTCTCCGATCCGGAACCGGCGGCATATTATAATTATGGTGGTTGCCGGGCGGCATGGTTGGAGAATGGGCACTAAAGTAGGATTTAGACCGGAGATGTGTCACCTATTTGACGTACAATTAATTAAATTGATGATTTAAATGGTTCAAATTCAATAAAGACAATGTATAAGGATCGGATCTTGATTCAACATTAATAAGTTCAATAAAGGTGCACCGTAACAACAGTTGTGAGCGCCACAGTAAAATGGGCGAAGAAAAAAAAAACAAATTTACTTTCATTGTTTACTGTTGTGTGATGTCATATATTGCGTTGTAGGGTGTTTCAGACTATCAATTTGTGCTTTCAATGATACACCCTGTGCTTATGTGCTGTGGTTATTTGTGAGTGTTGAAATATAGATGGCAGTATAATTGGAACAAATTGTTCATGTTATCAGATCATATTACATCAGTTTTATTGAAAAAAAAATGTTAAATTTCGTCGGAATCATTTTTGTTGGAAAAAAAAATAAAATGAAAAATATGAAATTTCGACAAAATTTTTCCCTATGCAGAAAAATGTCGAAATTTCGATGAAATTTTTTCCTATGAAGAAAAAATATCGAAATTTCGACAAAATTTTTCCCTATGCAGAAAAATGTCGAAATTTCGATGAAATTTTTTCCTATGAAGAAAAATGTCGAAATTTCGACGAAATTTTTTCTATGCGGAAAAAATGTCGAAATTTCGACAAAATTTTTCCCTATGCAGAAAAATGTCGAAATTTCGATGAAATTTTTTCCTATGAAGAAAAAATATCGAAATTTCGACAAAATTTTTCCCTATGCAGAAAAATGTCGAAATTTCGATGAAATTTTTTCCTATGAAGAAAAAATATCGAAATTTCGACAAAATTTTTCCCTATGCAGAAAAATGTCGAAATTTCGATGAAATTTTTTCCTATGAAGAAAAATGTCGAAATTTCGACGAAATTTTTTCTATGCGGAAAAAATGTCGAAATTTTTCCTTTACCGAAAAATATCGAAATTTCGATAAAATTTTTTCGACATGGAAAAAGTATCGAAATTTCGACAAAATTTTTTCTATATGGAAAAAGTATCGAAATTTCGACGAAATTTTTTCTATATGAAAAAAGTATCGAAATTTCGACGAAATTTTTTCTATATGAAAAAAGTATCGAAATTTCGACGAAATTTTTTCTATATGAAAAAAGTATCGAAATTTCGACGAAATTTTTTCTATATGAAAAAAGTATCGAAATTTCGACGAAATTTTTTCTATATGAAAAAAGTATCGAAATTTCGACGAAATTTTTTCTATATGAAAAAAGTATCGAAATTTCGACGAAATTTTTTCTATATGAAAAAAGTATCGAAATTTCGACGAAATTTTTTCTATATGAAAAAAGTATCGAAATTTCGACGAAATTTTTTCTATATGAAAAAAGTATCGAAATTTCGACGAAATTTTTTCTATATGAAAAAAGTATCGAAATTTCGACGAAATTTTTTCTATATGAAAAAAGTATCGAAATTTCGACGAAATTTTTTCTATATGAAAAAAGTATCGAAATTTCGACGAAATTTTTTCTATGCAGAAAAAATGGCGAAATTTCGACGAAATTTTTTCTATGCAGAAAAAATGGCGAAATTTCGACGAAATTTTTTCTATGCAGAAAAAATGGCGAAATTTCGACGAAATTTTTTCTATGCAGAAAAAATGGCGAAATTTCGACGAAATTTTTTCTATGCAGAAAAAATGGCGAAATTTCGACGAAATTTTTTCTATACCGGAAAAATGTCGAAATTTCGACGAAATTTTTCCCATACGGAAAAAATATCGAAATTTCGACGAAATTTTTCCCATACGGAAAAATATCGAAATTTCGACGAAATTTTTCCCATACGGAAAAATATCGAAATTTCGACGAAATTTTTCCCATACGGAAAAATGTCGAAATTTCGACAAAATTTTTTCCTATAACGGAAAAATGTCGAAATTTCGACAAAACTTTTTCCTATACCGGAAAAATGTCGAAATTTCGACAAAATTTTTTCCTATACCGGAAAAATGTCGAAATTTCGACAAAATTTTTTCCTATACCGGAAAAATGTCGAAATTTCGACAAAATTTTTTCCTATACCGGAAAAATGTCGAAATTTCGACGAATTTTTTCCTATACCGGAAAAATGTCGAAATTTCGACGAAATTTTTCCTATACCGGAAAAATGTCGAAATTTCGACGAAATTTTTCCTATACCGGAAAAATGTCGAAATTTCGACGAAATTTTTCCAATACCGGAAAAATGTCGAAATTTCGACGAAATTTTTCCAATACCGGAAAAATGTGGAAATTTCGACGAAATTTTTCCTATACCGGAAAAATGTCGAAATTTCGACGAAATTTTTCCTATACCGGAAAACTATCGAAAATTTCGTCGAAATTTTTCCTATACGGAAAACTATCGAAAATTTCGTCGAAATTTTTCCTACACGGAAAAAATGTCGAAATTTCGACGAAATTTTTCCTACACGGAAAAAATGTCGAAATTTCGACGAAATTTTTCCTACACGGAAAAAATGTCGAAATTTCGACGAAATTTTTCCTATACGGAAAAAATGTCGAAATTTCGACGAAATTTTTCCTATACGGAAAAAATGTCGAAATTTTTTCTGTATTGAAAAAATAGACAAATTTCGTCGAAATTTTTTTCTGTATCGAAAAAATAGCAAAATTTCGTCGAAATTTTTCTATATGCAGAAAAATATCGAAATTTCGTCGATATGCAGAAAAATATCGACATTTCGTCCAAATTTTTTCTATATCGAAAAAATAGCAACATTTCGTCGAAATTTTCTATACAAAAATAATAGCAAAATTTCGTCGAAATTTTTCTATACGGAAAAATATCGAAAATTTCATGGAAGTTTTTTTCGTACAGAAAAGTATAAAAATTTCATCGAAGTTTTTTTCGTAAAGAAAAATATCGAAATTTTTCTATATTTAAATAATGAAACTTAAAACTTCGTCGAAATTTTAAATTAAATTCAAGATTAGATCTTCCCCTAACATTATTTAAGAACTTGTTTTTTTCTTGATATGTTAAATACTTTAAATGTATTATTTATTTTAAATAAATTGTATATTCAACCTTTGGAATAATTTGTATTTTTGTTTGCATGTCTGTCATTCTGTCCTTCGGGATGTGTAACAACCAATATATTTTAAGCATAATTTGATGATCGGCATTCATTCCAAATACGTTCCATTTCATGGCTGTCGTCAAACTCATGCGAAGCCACAACAAAACGATAACTATCCGGACCGCTATAACGCGGCCGATGAAAATGGAAATTTCCACAATGGGTGAGATTGATGCGAGCCTTCAGTGCAACCAAACCCAAATAGATGTCATCGAAACGAAAATGTTTGGTATACTGGCTGACATAGTAAATATCTGTTAAAGCTGCTCGGGATAAAATAAACGCTCCCGCTGTAACATAGGGAGGCCAACGATTAAATGGATACTCTTTGAGAGTAACCAACCATTTGCTAAATTTATGGCGCAACGGTCTCGATTGGAAAACAAAACCAGCAAATAGTTTCTCATGCTCGGCACTGGCTTTCTTTTCCCACATGCTGTTCAATGATATGGCATTCTCTGGATATAAAGCTGGATGAGCTATAAAACGCAGCACATTTTTCATGGACACATAATAATCATCATCGACAAACATGTAATACTGGGCCCTCGGACAACGTTCCACAACCCATTTAAAGCCCATCATGGTTTTGATGGTATTGTTAAAGTAAGCATCAATAAAATCTGATTGCACTATATCACCATATTCTCTAGCCTCTCGGTCGGCAATATCCATTAGCTTGGAATCCATACTGGCACCCAGCAGAAACACCCTACGTATATGGACATCGGAAAATCGTTGTTCATAGCCCCAGGTACGTCGTATGGCCTCACGTCGCTCCACATTGCCCAGTGCTGATTTGATCAACAGCGTCAATTGTGGTTTTTTGGCTTCCACAGCATCGCATTGGCGTTGATGTAGAAATGTAAAATTGTATAAATTAATGGGATTTGGCACTTCTTCACTTCCATCGTCGATATGACTTTGTTTATTTTTGCGAGCTTCGGCATACTTCAGCACATCACCATCCATGGGATAGTGGAATTTCGTTTCATATTCCAATTCAAAGAAATGTGTGAATACACCGAAAAAATCTAAAAGGAAAACGCCGGCTATCACAGCGGCATATTTGTAAATGCGTTTATGTCTCGTTTTCATTGTTGCTATTGGTTGTTTGTGGTCTTTTTTCGTTAGTGGCTTTTGTTTTGTTCGTTACTTTTTGTTGGGTTTTTATCACTAATTGAATTATGTCTTCGTTGTGTTTGGAATGGAATCCATGATTTGGTTTCTCTTTTCGGTCTAGGTTGAACTATTCACCAAATAGAGCGAAGTGAACAGTTCTAGGGTTTTAGTTGATCTAATTTTTGTCAATTATTTGCCACGGTGATTCATGTTATTATTTTAGCCTTATTATTCACCTTGATAACACCACGGTTATTGGGGTCTGGTCGTCTAAAAAGAAAAGTGGAAAAAAATTAGAAAAGAATTATTATTTAGTTGGATTTTATTTTTTCCAGTTTGCTTAGAACTGTTGGTTTCTGAGACCACAAAAATAACAGGCATCTGGAGAAAGGCTGGATAAAACACCAATGTAGCCAGAAATGTCCTTCTGGGAGCCCGAGCAAAACAAAATTTATTTTCAAGAAAAAATTCTTTAAAGATTGTCCTTTTCAGGGGCGGGCAGGCCCACTCGGCCCCAATTACAATTTCTGCCAGTCATATTGACGATCTATAAAGAAGAAATTAAAGGGCTTGAAACTCTATTCTAGCACTTCATGTCCTAGTTGCTTGAGAGCATCATAATTGGCCAACAGCACAAAATTGGGATGAATCAGTTTGTCACGATGTTACATACGTCAGATTTAACTAAAAGGAATACCTATAGGTTAGGTTAGGTTAAAGGATGCATGGTTGTTTTAACCACCACTCTACTCGGTGACCTGCTGGTCCATTGTGTTCTAAAAGGAATACCTAAACTTGGCTGGTTGTTGTACGGGGTGGATGTGATCTGATTGGTGCCGAAATTATTATTGTAAAATAAGTTTTTAAATGTTATACTGGTGCATATATCGGAAATTCAATGTTGATTAACATTTGGAGGCCTTCCAGATTAATTTATGTTGCCTCAGAGAAGTTATGAAGTAAGGGGCTGACTTAAAACTTTCAGAGTGTACGTCGTATCAGCGCAGGATAGTTTCTCCACTACTTCCTTTCAACAACAGCAGTTGTGACAATTGTCAATTAACACTTTGCACATTTTCGAGAAGGTTAGTAACCAATGAGTATCGCAAAAGTCTTGACAATATTCATCCCTGATTACCCTGATCGCCTTGTTTTTTACAGTGGAAGATGTCATTTATAAGAGGCTCAGCGGATTCAATATTTGGATTTAATTCTAGAATAGTAAAAACTTTCATTTTTTAATGTTTCCAGAGGTAGGTATCCCTTACCTGATTCCAGCAAAGTATTTTTTTTTCTTGGGGAAGAGCCCGGATATTTGAATCGAATGTCCGGGTCTACAAGATCGGGGTTACGTATAAAAACTTACCTTTGGAAAATTGTTTCAAAAAACAAAAAGATGGTTTATTAAACTAGAGTTATTTTAAGATTTGTTGCATTCGATGCAAAGCGGCTGCACTTCAACTTTGCCCTGAAATAACAACTTAGCTCAGTTTGAAAGAGCTGTATGGCAAGAAAAACACACCCACCCGTATATGCGTTTTCATTCTTCAATTTTCCATTAAATTTTCGCACAATGTGACTAACAATAATCGCAGAAATCTATATATTATTGAACATAAAAAACTAATACAATTAATAATAACACAAATGGTACAAGCCCATGGCGCCCGTAGCAATAACAATTTTTTGCCGTAAAATTAATTTTACTAACTGTATTTTTCCAATTGTTACAATAGATGTCAACACAAGAGTATAATACACTATTTATTTCTTATTTACAATGGATCCATTTACAAATAAAATTAATAAATCCATTCCATTTGTTGCCCAACGCAAGCACGTCTTCTTCAATTTTGCAACTTTTATTTTTTGGTCCGACCCAAATTAAAAACGTTCCAAACAAATCAAATACGAAGAACAAAACATAATGCCGGCTAAAAATGGAAAAGAAAATGAAATGACCAAAAAAGTTTACGAATCAGCGGAGAAAAACAAAGAGACGGTGGTCAATGGAGGAAAACGAAGATAAAAAGAGGTTGGAATTAACGGCGTTGAATTTCCCACTGAAATGGTGAAAGACAACGATGTTGCTGTTATTCACTGTAAAGTGATAATCGTTGATAAGACTGTTCCATAATCAAAAAATTAAATTTCGGCTGTTAATTTGAACATAAAAAAGGAAAAAAATAAACATACGGAGGTTAAAGAGAGAAAAAGAAGATAAAAGAGAAGCTGGAAAAGACAAAATATTATGGAATTAACGGCGTTGAATTTCGCACTGCAATGATAACAGAACTGTTATTGCTGATGTTGTTATGCACTGTGAAATGATATCTGTTAATAAAATTGTTCAATAGTACTAATATTAATTAAATTTCACCGGTAAATGTTAATTTGGAAAAGAAAAATCAGTAAAGAAAGTCTTAAAGTCGGGCGGGGCCGACTTTATGATACCCTACACCACTTTACTAATTTAGTAGAGCTCCTCATACCAATTAAAAGTTTTTATGGGAGAGTTCAACCACACAAGCTATGATTATAACTATAGTTAAAAGTTCAAAGGACTAAATATCCAGAAGCATTTGTATCTTTTAAATACTGATTTGTATTGCCCATTTGGTGCACAATTAATTTAAGATCGGATAAATATATATATGGCAGCTATATCCAAATCGGAACCGATCACGATAAAATTTGGCAAAGATATTTCTGAGCTGTATTTGATATATTGTATACTGTATTGTTACGGAGTGCATATTACGGTGGTGGGTAACAAATATATCAAATCGGATGAACAATATATATGGAAGCTATAGCTATATCTGAACCGATCTTCACCAAATTTGACATACAAGCTTCTAGACTCAATTCGGTCGTAAGTGTCAAATTCCATCTCATTTAGACAAATATTAGACGTTAGTGCACAATAAAAGGTAAATCGGACGAAGTTATACATAGGAGCTATATCCAAATCTGAACCGATCTCGATAAAATTTAGCAAATATATTTTTGAGCTGTATTTGATATATTTCCCCAAATATTGTTGTTGCAGAGTGCATATTACGGCTGCGGAGGACAAAAATAACAAATGTGATGAACAAGATATATGGGAGCTATAGCTATATCTGAACCGATTTCGATCAAATTTGGCATACTTATTTTCAGGCCTAATTTGGGTGTATATGCAAAATTCCATACAATTCGGGCTGATATTACACATTTGGTGCACAATAAAATGCAAATCGGACGAAGATATATATGGGAGATATATCTAAATTTTTACCGATTATCTCCAATTTCAATAGGGTTCGTCCTTGGGCCAAACAAATGATCTGTGCAAAATTTCATCTGGATCGGGCAATAAATGCGACCTGTACTTTGTTTACAAAAATACAATACAGACGGACGGACGGACGGACATGCATAAATCGACTCAGAATGTGATTCTATGCAGATCATCTCGTTTCCTTCTGCCTGTTACAAACAAATGCACAAAGACATAATACCCTGACCACCTTGTGGTGTAGGGTATAATAAAGAGACTGTGGTCAAAGAAAGCAAATAAAGATAAAAAGGAGATTGAAAGAGCCGAAAGATAATAGAATTAACGGCGTTAAATTTTCCACTGAAATTATAACAGAAACCGGGGTTGCTGTTATTTACTGTAAAATGATACTTGTTGATAAAACTGTTGAACAGTACCAAAGTTTAACAAATTATAATTTGGAAAAGAAAAAGAAAGAGTCGGCGATCAAAGAAAAATAAAGAGACTGTGGTCAAATAAAGAAAACATATCAAAGAGAGTCTGAAAGGGCCGGATGCTTATGGAACTAATGGTGTTGAATCTCACATTGAAATGACAACACCACCCGGGGTGCTGTAATTCACTGTGGAACAAAAGCAGTTGATAAAACTGTTCCATAACCCCAAAATCAATCAAATTTCGCCGGTTAATTTCAATTTAGAAAAGAAAAACAAAGGGGCGGTCGTCAAAGAGAGAAAAGGAGATAAAAGAGGGTCTGTGAGGGCCGGATGCTTATGGAATTAATGGCGTTGAATTTCACAATGCAATGACCCGGGGATGCAATGACAACCGAACCCTGTGAAATTATATATATTAATAAAACTGTCCAATAGTACCAAAACAATCACATTCCGGCGGTAAATATTATTTTGGGAAAAAACAAAGAGAAAGACAAAATATAACATAAAAGAGAGACTGATGTTTTTGGAATTAACGGCGTTGAATTTCACATTGACATGACAACATAATCCGGGGTGTTATTATTCACTGTGAAATGATGACGGTTGATAAAACTGATCCATTATCGCAGAAATCAAAATTCAACCGTTTATTTCCTATTTAGAATTTTTAAATGCTATTATATAAATATATTTTTTTTAATTCAACTCTCCAAACAAATCGAATATGAAGGATAAGATATAATGCCGGCTAAAAATGAAACAGAAAATAAAATGAAGGTAAAGCTTACGAATGGGGAGAGAATAAAGAGACAGTAGTCAAAGAAAAGATTTAAGATTAAAAGACGTTGAAAGAGCCAAAATATAACGGATACTATGGCGTTGAATTCCTCACTGCAATGATACTGTTATTCACTATGAAATGAGAACAGTTTATAAAACTGTTAAACAGTACAAAAATCAATGAAACTTCGGCGGTTAATTTGAATTTAGTAAAAAACAGTGAGGAAGTGGTCAATGAAAGAAAATGATTTCCACTGAATGATAACAGAACCCAGGATGCTGATGTTCACTGTGAAATGATATCTGTTAATAAAACTGTCCAATAGTTCCAAAAACAATCGTTATTTTGCGGTAAATTTTAGTTTGGAAAAGAAAAACAAAGAGAAGGTGGTCAAATAAAGAAAACGGGCTGAAAGAGCCGGATTCTTATGAAATTAACGGCGTTGAATTTCACACTGAAATGATAACAAACGGGGCAGTGCTGTTTTTCACTGTGAAATGATAACGGTTGATAAAACTGTTCCATAATAACAAAATCAAATTTCGACGGTTAATTTTAACTTAGAAACGGTAAAGAGACAATGGTCAAAGAAAACAAAGGGGCGGTCGTCATAGAAAGAAAAAAAAATGATCAAAAAAACCTGAAGGTGTCGAAAATATTTGGAATTAACGGCGTTGCATTTCACATTGAAATGATAACAGAGCCCAGTGATTGCTTTTATTCACTGTGAAACGATAGCAGTTGATAAAACTGTTCAATAGTACCAAAATCAATCAAATTTCGGCGGTTAATTTAAATTTGGAACTTTTTAAATGATATAATATCATATATTTATTCTTATGCGTAATTCGTACATAATTGCTTTGCGTAGACATGAAATCTCTGGGAAACTATTCTTAAAAATCTTTTTGTTTATATCCTTGAAAAGTTTTTCATGAAAAACTTCAATTAATAGTTTACAAAATCTTTCCGTGATTTTTATGTTGTTGTTTTTTATTGTTGACCTGTATATTGATTCTTATTAACTTTATTTTGGCTTAAGGTCAATTGAAAAACATCAGTGTTTTCTTTTTATAATTTTGATTTTTATTTTCCGATATTTCGACTGTCTTCGACAGTCATCTTCAGGGAAAAATATTTTTATTGAGAAAAGCAACAGTCTTGTTTCACCGTCTATGCTAAACTCAGTTTACAACTCAACTCAGTTTAGCATAGACGGTGAAACAAGACTGTTGCTTTTCTCAATAAAAATATTTTTCCCTGAAGATGACTGTCGAAGACAGTCGAAATATCGGAAAATAAAAATCAAAATTATAAAAAGAAAACACTGATGTTTTTCAATTGACCTTAAGCCAAAATAAAGTTAATAAGTTTACAAAATCCTTGAAAAATTTTCAAAAAAAAAAAATTGAATGACATTCTTTATTAAAATTTAAATATTCTTAAAAAATTCATTCAATAGAAAAAAATCAAATTAAAAAGATACATTGTATAACCTTAGAAAATTAAATGACATTCTTTATTAAAATTTAAATATTCTTAAAAAATTCATTCAATAGAAAAAAATCACATTTTAAAAAAATACATTTTATAACCTTAGAAATCATTGAAAAATATTTCTTAAAAATTTACGTTAATGGCTTTTATATTTGTATTTAAACATCTTCGTTTATAACCCTAGAATCCTGAAAAATTCCCCTTAATGTTCTTAAAATTTGTATCTAAATAATTTTGTTTATAACCCTAGAATCCTTAAAAATATTACTTAAATACCGCGTTATAGCCTTAAAAATCATTGAAAAATAAAAAAAAAACACTTTAAATCGTTGAAAGTTATTTTTTAAAGAATTGTGTTAAGCTCCTCGAAAATTGTTGAGAAATATTTTAAAAAAATCACTTTTAAAAATATTTTTTTAAAAATTTAAGTTTGTGGGTAAAATATAAAAATGTCCTTAAAAAAATATATTTTTGGAAAATCCATATTTGTCTCATGGTTTGTAACTTCAAAAAATCTTCCTTGAACAGCAATTCTTATTGGAAAATCTTCCCCCTCCACCAATTTTCTCCTACTTCTTCCATGGCACTAAGACGACAGTAGTAATCAAAATATTTCCAAAATTTCTATTATAACAACAACTCCCCCTCCCTCCCATTGTTCAAAAATATGCCTCGTCGAATAAAGTGAACTGAACACAAATGGCCGGCTCCACCTCCAACACTTGAAGTGCCAGAAAAACAACAGCAACCACATCTATTAAGGCAATGACATTATTCAGACACAATTTTCACCAATTAAACATTTATTTCAATTTTCTTCATTTATTTTTTTTTCGTGTTTTCCGTTTTCGTTGGACACAAATGAAAAGTTCATTGCTCTCTCTGA